GCCCTCTGATTACTGTCCAGGGACAGCTTCCAATTTAGGCTGCAGACTTCCATCAAGAAATACCTGAAACGCTGCGAACAATAGCAGCCGGTCATCAGCAATCCTGAAACGCCGAAACCAACGCCATTTTCGTTGCCGTCAGCTGACAACCAACTCCAGGCCGAACGAACACGAACGAACAATTGAAGTTGCACAATCACAGGAATCCTAGTCCGATTCCCGAGAGGTTATTGTCCAACCCCATCCAGGTATCGCAAAGCCCCTGTTCGCAGCGGTATATAGACAAGCAGCAGCCGACACTCATCATGGACGACAGTATGGATGTTTCCTCCATCACTAGACCACTCACCGTGGATCCGAAAGTAGCAACATCTTTCTTCGGTTCGTAGGTCTCTGGCATAAATCTCACATATCGCTAAGTAATGCTAAATAGTCACTTCCCCTTCACAGCACCGTCATCTACTGGCCCGGTGCCTATGAACGATCCTGCAACTATTGCAAACCCTCAGACAAACATGGTAGATATGGATCAAGGAATCTTCAACGACGAACCAGGAAGGAAGACCATGTGAGTTGTTTTTTCGCTTCAGCGTCTAATCGATGACACGTATCTAATGATGACATCGACAGTGACTTGGTCTTCATACAAGACGCTACGGGATCAATGGGATCTTACATTGCATCAGGTTCGTGGGCGGATTCTTTTGCCACTGTTGGCGATGCTAAATTTCGGGTACCTTGCAGCCACGAAGAATATTGAAGAGATCTGTAATCAGATCGTCACACATGCGCAGCTCGAGCGTCCTGATGATCTACGCATAGCTGTACGCTATCTCAAACACAGTTAATACTAAAGCTGACGACATATTCGCTCCTCTCTATAGGTCGTCGCCTACAGGGATCATCCACCACAAGACCACACCTACATCACCAAGACTCTTCCCTTCACTTCAAACATTTCCAAGGTCCACACATTCTTGGAAGCCCTGCATGCGAGCGGTGGTGGTGACGGACCAGAGGCAGTAACAGCGGCTATGCAGGTGACATTACATGAATTGGCGTGGAGGCAGAACTCGACAAAGACGGTCGTTTTGGTGGCTGATGCCCCGCCTCATGGTATGTGCTTGTGAAACAGGTTACTGCGCATGTTATACTCACCGTTGCATCGTGATATGCAGGTATGAGCGATTATGGAGATGGTTAGTGAACATGTAACCTCCCGTTGCTGTAGTGCTAACTTTACCAAAATCGATCAGGTTTCCCGAAGGGCGATCCCAATGGTACGTGCATGTTTCCTTTTCAACAACCGATATAACTCTGATTGTCTCAATCCTTTCCGTAGGTCATGACCCTTTACAACTTGCACGAGAAATGGCTAGTCGAGGGATTGGAATCGTAAGCCACCGTGATGCCATTGAGAAAACTGATCGAGCGACTCATTTGCCCGAGACTTCATTCTTCAGTTCGTAATGGCTTGTGAACCGAATTTGTCAAGCTACAAGGTATGTTGTTTGTTTTGAAGGCTCGATGCTGGCGGTTCCCAAACTGAAGCCTACTGCAGTTCGGAGTGGAGTTCTTCCAAGCAATCAGCAGGATCACTTCAGGTCTTATGCTGCCACTCACTACTGCCGATCTATTGGCGCAAGCTATCATTGGAAGTGTCTTAGAGAACTTGGATTTGGAGAGCTTGGTTCAACGTGAGCATCGTCTCCAGATACCCGGTGTGGAGTGCATTCTAACGGAAGCACAAACATGGATAGAAATCGGCCAACAGGTCGCCGATAGGTTGGGTAGCAATGTTACGGAGGATTCCATTGACGCAGTGGCACAGTAAGCTTACCACTTCTAGGACTTGTACAAGTTCTAACGTTTGTTCAAACAGGGAGCTGCACGAGCGGCTGCTATTGATGGGTCAGACAACCAAGAAGGTTCGAGTCGAGAACATCTATGAACAGTCACCGCAATTTGAAGCAAACGTCAAGGCGTTCATGACTTCGGCTAATCTACAAGAAGCTATGCCACAAGTAAAGCACGTACGTATGAATTTAAGATACTATCGTGTTTCTGGATACATGCTAAGATTGGTTATACTTATAGATCCGGACCACGAAGTTCACGGATGCTTATCGAAATTCAAAGTACGGCGTCAGTCAGGGACTAGGTCGACCGGGTGGCCGAAGACCTGCTCCACCGGCCTACCGGCCCGCACCAGCGCTTAAACTCAACATGGATGACGATGATGATGAAACGTCACGCCCTGCCACACCAGATCCCTTCAAATCATTCGCGCCCTACAAGGCTCCCGCCGGTACTATTTCGCCACCCGGAGCATTCTCCTCTGGTCTACCAAAGGACGCATCTAGTCGAGGTGCATTCACGTCGCCACGTACTGCATGGACGTCAAGCGGTGCTCGACGGAAGAAGATGGACAGTGATGATGACGAGGATAGCGATGAAGATGCGGATCAATCTAACAAGATGAACGCAAAGCAACAAATTGGGTTATATGAGGATGCTATCTCGTTGGAACAAGTGAGTGCGCCGCTGTAGCGCTAATGGTTTCAGCTGACTGACTGACTGGATTTACCTTTCAGGCCAAGCGTATCGCCACCCAGTCGATCTGGCGGATGCGTGCATAGCTGTGTTGCTCTGACGGGCTTTGTTCTCCATTTCGCTTCTTTAAGGACATGCCTTTCGATCGATTCATTGCTACTTCCATCAAGAAAGGACCGAGAACAAATCATCATCGCATTGGGCAAGGTGATCATCACATGGCATAAGGTGTTGAGCTAAATTGTATCTATAAGAACCATTTGTATGTAACGCTATGATCCGGGACTGCATTAAGCTGATTAGATGAGACAGTCTGGCTCGCGTTGCAACCGCGCAAGAGCGTTTTAGCTAACATTGGTTTCCGATAATAGACGAAGGCAATGGAGGAGAAGTCAGCTATTATAAATCAAAGCTTGTTCGTCGATAACCCAGGGTATGCTCGTTCGTGTAGGTTTGGCCCAAGCGTGAAGCAAAGAATCTGGAGCATGTGTCTTGACTATTGCCTTTACAGCACTTCTTTCCGATCTGACGGCTATATGCCTTCAGCACATCCCTGTCAGAACCGTAAAGAGTCACTTCGATGCGAGCACCATCAACGCTTCTCTGAGGCTGTGCCCCAGGCTTCAGTATCCTTCGACCTTCTCTGCTTCGATGTTATCGCCACGGCGAGAAATTCACGGTGTAGAAGTGATGTGGCGTTACAAAGGCACACCTCCTTTGAGTGTCAAAGAAGCGCTGATTGCTGGTCATATCTGAGGCTGTGCTGTCCTTCTGGTACCACCTCGACTCGAAAGCTATATACATATCTCTTTTTGATTGATGGGTCCCCCGCTCCACAGAGCAACTCCTTCGAATTCACGCTAGACATCTTGGTCTAATCGCTAATCAGCTGCCATCTCAAGTTCGATTTCACATAGCACAAGCTTGCAGCTAATCCCACGATAGTCATCATGGCGGAAGTCGCATCCTCAATCGCACCATCGACTGCTCCGCCCTCCTCTGCCAGCTGCTTTCCCTTAACTGCGCCTGACCAGCACTCCGTCGGACCCTCGCCGGGTTTTGACTCTGCACCAGTCTCTATCCAGTTCTCCGAGGCAGACAAGCAAACGATTTTGACCTTGGTTGCATCGATACTTAGTGCAATTCTTAGTGCGAATCCATCCTTGCTCACCTCCCTAGGCTCGGACAGATCTGCGCCGGCGATGGACCAGGACTCGCAGGCCAGTGATCGTTCAGCCATGACCGGAAGTGCTGTTGACACCGCCGCCGTTTCGATGCCTGCAACTGCGCCAAACGTCACACCCCGAGCGGCAGTGGCTCAATCTCAAGCTCCAGTACCGCAGGAAGCTCAGGTGGCCATCCCCACTGCTTCTCCAGCGCCTGTGACCACCCAAAGCCCTGCTCCACTAACACAAGCGGCGCAGGTTCAGCCAATGGCACCCTTGGTCCAGCCGCCTGTCGGTCCTGTGGCGATTGACCCCGCTGCCCCTCAATCGAGCCAGGCACACCGAGACGGTGATGATGACGAGCCCAACCACGATGGGGATGGGTCTCCGGTTGCTGAGGATCGTGGCGACTAGGCAGAAACTCGATGAAGGGGTTCGTCAGAGGGGCTGCACGGCAAGGGGCACGAGAAAGGCATCACAGGCTCTTTCCCGGTTTGGCTACCGCGACCTAGCTCAGAATGCTACTGTTTCATGTGCTCGATCTCACTGTATTGCTTGCGAAGCTTCGTGTATGTATTCATTGCTAGCTCTTTTTCCTATCTTGACTTCAAATTTGTTGTATGTTACGATTTTGCGACTATCTTTTGGCGGCGTCAGTGGGAAGAAACTTTATGTATTATTACGGGAATTTTAGTGTCTGCCATGCAGGTATAATCAGGTATCCTCGACTTTTACATTTGGACCACTTGATTGCTGGGTGAAGGTCCCAGCCTCGAGTTGTTGGGGTTTCCATATATGGCTACTACTGTGTCTGATGACTCTGTTGAAAAACTCGAGGTCTGTTGAGGAGGGCTTCGAACGAAACTTGAACGCTGCGGCTGCGGGAGGCTACTAGCCTACCATGCATTATTTATAGTGGTACAATGCCGTGCCGAAGCAAGAAGGTGATCTTTCTGAAGCAAGCCGGCACTGTCGCCAGGAGCCCCCGACTGCTGCAGCAATGATCAGTCGTTGTCGTAGCTACGCGAGTCCAGCATCTGTTCCTGCATCGCACCGACATGTTCATGTGTCTGGAAGATGCTTAGCGTTATACCCTTCCCAGGCATCATTCACCACCTAAGAAAGGGCACATCCTATCACTTGCAGTCCGTTATCCTCCGGCTTATCAGTCCGGGGTGGTTTGAGCTATTATAAAGGCTGGTTGCATAGCGCGTGTGCTGGTTGGTTAGGTGCACGCGTCATCCGTTCAAGGTCGCCCCAAGCTCTTAGACTAATCTCGGCAGCGTCGTAGCTCAGTCGGAAGAGCGCTGGGCCCATACGAAGAATATACTCTTCAGGTCACCCAGAGGTCCCTGGATCGAGACCAGGCGACGCTATTGCAAGACTCGCTTTTTGCGTCACGAGTCGTCTGTTTTGGCTGATTTCCGAGATGTACGTTTTTGATGAAGAGCATGTTTCGTACTGTATCACGGCACGGCCTGTGTCTGAATACTCCTTCCTCGGGGATCTACCCTTCAAGCATAGTGTACGCTGTCAGTGCAAGTCGTATATCACTTCAAGCCGATCCTTGGGGACATATCCAGGCTCAGATGGCGCTTTTAAATTCCGTCCATAGGACTCGAGGACCCGCAGAGGAGCTCACGAAGGAGACTTTGCTTGTCTGCTATCCGCCGTTGCACTCAAGCAAAGAGGGGCAGTGTCATGGAAGAACGCTTATACACGATTGATTCGAATTACAGCTTGCCAGCACTCCACAAGGGGGAAGCTTTCTCAGATTGGCCAACGGATCGGCAGGCGGAACACCATCAATCAGATAGCGATGATGACATTCATTCGAACTCTATAAAGCGATGTTGCGAACATGTCGAGTAAGTTGACCAGATGCTGATCCCGACTCAGGGCGAGCAATGTTCAGTGACGATCTATCAATGATGGAAGGGTTGAGCCGAAACACAGAAATCTCGCGGAGAAATGTTGAAACATCAATCAAAATTATTGGTGTCGATTTGGATAGGAGACATCCCTTTGATTGGCTGATGAAAGCTTCTTGGGAAAATCCTTTGCCAGCAGTCGATATAAACCATTGCTTGGAAGTCCCTTCATCTTGATGCTGACACCTGACGTCAACTCGAATCTATCGTGCAACCGTCTGCCTCGCCACCACTAGCTATCACGAACATGACTTCCGTACGATTGCCAATGTCATCGACCGGCTTGCTACCCTTTCACGGCCAATCGATAGCTTCTCCTCACGATCAAGATGATACAATGTACGATCCTACAGCCTCTTTTCCGGTACATTCAGTCGCCAACACGGTCCCGTTCGGCACTACAGCAAAGAAGAACAAGAAGTACCCTTACGCGCGACCGAGACGAGCTACAACGAGACTGGCGGGTCCCAAGACTGCCATCACAGGCGAATCCGGAAAGAAAGCTCCTCTTCAAGCGGTCAAACATCGACAAAACTTCTCCTTGGGAAGGCAGCAAGTCAAACAGATCCAGAGGAATGTGTCATTCTCCAAGCCACAGAAGCAAGGCGACATGCAAACCGAATTATATGAACCACCATCGACCTCTCTATCATGCATCAACGAAAAAGCAGACGTCAGGCCGGCGCAAGGACAAACTGCTTTCGTTCCTCTGAAACTTCCAAGAGTCAAGATCCCGCCAGTAGATCCAAGTGCTTTCTGTTACGGAAGACTAGCTGAAGTGGTGAGTTGCATCCTTTCCCAACATTAACCTTCTGCCTTTTGGATACTGATTTGATTTTGCTTTCGCCTCGTTTTAGCCGCCTCCTTACGTGCTATCTCATGTCAAGCAAGCGTCTCCCGAAATGCTTCGTTGCGCATCGCTATATCGACCTATCATGTCTCCCGATTCTGCATCGCCAACGAGTCTTCCCAACTCACACCAGAGACCAATCGACATCGTTCCCTCTGACACTGTAAGGTTTCGCATTCCTGCTGGCAGTGTTTTACCGTCGGATGGTGTCTTTCAGCAACTTGGAGGAGGTTTGGAACCGACGCACTGTCTAGCTGTCAGGCCAAGGACGAAAAGTGTCGGTGGTCAACAATCATCGAACGAAAGGACGCCTTTTGGCTCGGCGGGTACTGTTGAAGAAGGAGAAGTGGGTCGAATGATACCGATCCAGTACGTATGCTTTCCCTCTCGATATATATCCTTCATTGGGCTTACAGCTTCATCCTCATCTCCAGTCAAATGGTCTATGCTTCCCAATGCGCGTACTTCCCAAGACCCGTCGTCTACGTGCCCTCCGAGCGATCAACAGCGACCGTCACCTCGCCATTCTCGCCTTCATTCACCGCGTCATCATCGGCTTCAACCTCACAACTGCCGCTATCGCCCTTGTCACCAGTCTCACCGATGGCAGGAATAGCTCACGAGAGCGATGCTATGCAACAACAGCCGGATATGCAAGCTCAAACCCTGCCGAACTCACAGCGACGCCGGAAATCCGATGCTAGTGACCGCACCGTCACGTCACCATCGGGATTATCGGACATCGAGGAGGAATCCACTCCGCCATTCCAGCTTGATCCTAGGCTGAACACAGCGACCCCGACTAGAACCAACACCGTAAACGACCAGCCTCAAATATCGGCTTCCACTACCCTCGTCTCGGAGATAAACAACATGCAGGACTCCCATCCTCACCTTCTTGCACCGATTATCGACTTGCCCTTGGTTCATGTTACGGTGCCTTTCCCGAGCCTAATGGCGCCACTGCATGGATGGTTGTATAATCCGTCGCCACCGATACTTCTCGCTTCTCTCCTCGATCTACCTCGTGATACTGCTGCACCGCCGGATAAAGCCGAAGACCAAACATCGAAATCGCGACCGCCGGCAGTGCAACGTTTGGCTGCTCTTTCCCTACATTCGCTTTTCTCTCGAATGCAGAAAATCCATAAACTCTGGTCGAACACGGTGGCACTCGGAATATCGGACCACATGCTATGGAGGGTAATGGATCGGGCTTGGGATTGTTTCGTGTCCGCATTGAAACTGAAGGGTGGCGAAGCAGCGTATGAGGTGTCGCTAGAAGCTGCCACCCAGACCGAATGGAATCTGGACAGTCAAAGCGAGGTGGTGCGAAAGTTTAGCATGGCGACTATTCGGGATTCGAGCAGCCGGGCTGCATCTGTGAATTCAACCTCGAGTGGGTAGTAGCGACAGCACCGGTACCACGCTCGCCATCAGTTGTAATTGTAGACTTGGAGATAAAAGTTGTATGGGGTGGACAGTGGCAGCACATCTCCTGTATCGAGTGGAGATTCGAGCTGTATGAGAGTTTGTAGATGTTTATATATATAGTGTCATCAAGATCTAGAGATCCTCATCATCACTACCCAGAAGTTCAGCCAGCTCACGCTCTTCCTCTGCAGTCATGTTTGATGGTTTCTCCTCCTTCTTGTCCTCGACGGGAATAGGAGGAGGATTGAGTATATCTGTAGAAGATAACGCAGGATAGCTGGTAAGCCATCGCCACGAGAAATCCATTTTCAACATGCCTACCTTTCATACTCCACCGTCGGAGCGTAGCGTCCAGAGACGCGCTAACAACCCACGGCTCTTTCCCCTTTTCTCCGTCCTTGATCCAGCACCTTAATGCGCTCACTTCTCCAAAGTGGCCCTTGATGTTTGCAATCTCCCGCGCCTCAACCGTACCTTCAGCCGCCAGATGCGTGTTGCCAGATTGTTCCAGTATTTCCGTTACATCGTACACCCGAATGTCTTCGTCGACCGAGCCGGTGAGTAGAAGCGGCGCGGTGGGATGGAATGAGGTAGGTAGGAGAAGAACACACTTGACGTAGTCTGGATGCGGGATGGGAATTGGTGCTCTTGGACTCGACGTCTCGGTGAGAGGATGGAAAAGAACGTGATTATCAACCGAAGCTATTGACAAATCGCAGAGAATGGTTCAACACTCCAGCCAATCGCGAATAGATCCAGTCAACGATACTTACCACTCCAGAGCCCCCCTTCCCCAATAGTCATTTCCGCCACACTGGTATGATGACCCTCAAGAGTGCCCTTCTCCACAACGGTAACCTCATCAGCAAAGCCGCCAGATTGCTCCTCTGTGCCGTTCCTCTTTTCCCGCTTGATCTGCCATGACCGTATGACCCCCATACTATCTGCAGAATAAAATGTCGCTTCATTCGACGTCGTGGATTTGGCGAGCGTGAAGCATTCAACGGGACGAGTGTGCTGCTTGAGCGTCTTCAATTTGCGAAGGCGGAAATCAGGTTTGGGTGTTGCTGGATTGACCTGCATTGTCGTTATATCCCATATATTTATTTGTCTGTCTGAACCTCCAGAGATGAGTAAACCCAACCACGGGATTACCAGAAGACATTTGACAAAGTCGGCATGCGCTGTTGTGGTGGATAGGCACTCGGCAGTCTAGACAAGGCGAAGTACCGGGACTGTTTAGCGAAGTGAATCATTCAGCACTGGTTTTCGGGTAGCGCACCTGCGTGTTCCACGTTTTGATGGTCTTGTCCCATGAACCAGTGAATAGGATGGTGTCTTTGCTAGTGGTTTGAGGTTGAGAGATGTCGTAGAACGCTAGCGAGGTACACGGTCCTTGGTGGCCTCTATACACCCTGCGCGCTTTGCCTGTCTTTACGTTCAAGTTGGTCAGTCGGCAACCTAACGTGAAAACGAGAGACGTACCACCAAATCAACCTGTCTTGCAACCCACCCACTTTCGGCTACCCATCCATCTTGATTTCTCACTTCCAGAGCCAGTACTTTACTCGGCAACTGAATAGGGTCCCCGACCTTGCTTGCGCGTTGAGCCTTGAGCCGCCGTGCATCGGATTTCTCGAGTGCTGCATCGGTTTGGAAAAGGTTGGAGGCGTCGTCGGTCTGCATAGCGGATCCCTATTGAATAGATCTATGGAGGGTTATCAATCAACCTTGACGTTCACGCTCGACGACTTGTACGACCAAGACCTTGTAGTGTGAATTATTCATGCTACAGTAGTAATCGAGGTCGAAAGTGATCGAACATTCGAACATGAAAGGTAGAAGAGGAAGCTGAAGAGGACTACCAATAACTATATTCTGGCAGATTTGTGTCTTCACAGTCGATACCTGGTAGTCTCTCTGCATCTCTTCGCGCACGACTGGGTAGACCATTCGCACGCCGGTCCGTCCATCCATTGCTTCAAGATGGCCACACAGATGCCTGTCCTTTCCCAGGAAGATCTGGACCAAGTCGCTGCGGTATGTTAACCCTCGTTGCAGCACTTCTGGTAGTACGCCGAATACTCACAAGAACAGTGTCCCACGCTCCAGATGATCTTACAAATGCATGCTCCTGAGATGGCGGGGAACACAGAAGTCA